ATTATTTCAACATAAATATAAATTATTTATCTTATCTGCAACACAAGTTTTTCTAATGTTACCTTAATTGTAAATTCCACGTAAAAATTGAACATTTATTACTAAATGTACAGTGCAAAATGTAATCTTCTTGGAGTAAATGAAGAGTTTAAGTTGAGTTTAGAATTTTACTTTATTTTTTCCCAATCAGCAGCTAACATTATTTCACAACACCTCTATGGCTTCATTAATTATTTATAATAAATAACAGGTTGATCCATAAAGGTTAGCAATTTCTGGTGTGGGCATATTTTTCTCTTGTAGCTTTGTCTCACACATATAAATCTATATTTCAACATAATAAAATTGACTAATTAATATACCTACATAATACAAAAAAATCATTATAACTTAATCATATTTAAGGTTTTAAATTCAAGATTTTTAGATATCTGTCTCATTTTAAATAAAGTTTGAGATCTTAATATACAGATAGGCATGTTATTTTGTTAATTACGAATACATTAATATTTAACGACAAATTATGTAGTCGTATTTTACATTAGGTACTTTATCACACATGTCATTAATATAAAAAAAATCTCGATTTTACGTAATTATCCAAAATGCTTCAAAGCAAATTGTTAGTTGGATGGTTTCTACTTAATAACAATATCATTATTAGGAACGAAGTAGCGAAAAACAAATTTAGGAGCAGCACAAGCCTCTGAAGGGCTTTTAACATTTAATACCAATAGATGGCGCTACTAAGTTGAAGGGCTTGGTATAATAAATACTCTAAACAATCTTCAATAGTTAGTTATACTACGTAATATATTTTTTATCTCTTTTGTAATCTTAAAAAGTATATGTATTTTTACTCTATATTTTTTTAAAGAAAAAACTTTAGTCCTTGCGTCTTCTCCAATTGCTCAAGCAACTTACAAAGCTGACAATATCAGTGCATCATTTGGGACCTCTGGGCTTATGAACAGATTTCAAAGCGACTATATTGTTCTATTGCAATGTATTCTATTGTTTTCTCGGGAACTATTTGGGATGATGACGTCATCTGAATTATGTTATTTTACCACCCGCCAGTGTTCATACTTACCAAATGATAGGAGCTGCGTTTTTAACCCAGAGACACAGCCCACTGTGTTTCTCGCCGGATCTTCTCAGTGGGTCGCGTTTCCGATCCGGTGGTAGATTCTGCGAAGCACTGCTCTTGCTAGGGTCAGTGTTAGCATCACTCCGGCTTGAGGTTACGCTGAAATAGCCTCTCAAGGCTATCAGCTTAAACAAATAGAAAAAAAAAAAGAAAAGGTGCGTTCATTGATAGAACGTTTCAAGACATCCTAAGAGATTTTTTTATTGATGAATTCTCTCGATAGAATTCAATAGCCATTTTCCCGCCTAAATTCAGAAAATGATAAAAATATACTTTCCCTTTTACCGAGAACATTTTTATATTGCAGTTGTTTAGCTGTTTGCAACTTATTTGCAAAATGTAAAGATAGTTTATTCCTCTGCCCAAATTAGTGTTTCTGTATTGCCTATTTCATCCGCTTAGAGTGCACTTACGACACACAGATAAAATATTCTTGTATTTTTTCTTATGAACTCTAGTGATTGACAGCGAATTAAAATTTTGACCGACTGACTCAGGCATGGACCTAAAATTGGCTTTCGGATCTTCTAATTATAAGCATTGGACAGTCGTTAATTAAATATATTGAGACTACAATCTCAAGTCCTAAGATAAACGGTGCCTCGCTGATTGCTATGGGCTCCGGTAATCACCTACCATCAGATAGGCCGTGAGCTCGTTTATTTTTAATCAATTACGGTAATCCATTTAACCGTTTCCATTTCCGAACTACTAAAGGAAGATATGAGTCAATTGTAGCAGTTTTTTAAATTATATGTGAATGACTCTCTCTCGCTCATTGGGTGACCTTTCTGTAATTCAACCTCCTTGGAAATTCCTCCAACCGTTATGTCATGACAAGTTAAAGCAGTGTAAATTATTTAAAATAACACTGTGTATCCTTCATGTATCGCTGTACATTTGCTGGAACTCAGAACGAAATCTGGGATCTTTAAATTTGCAGTATTAATAAAGATTTAAGTAAGAGAATAATTAATTACAATATAAGTTTATATAGAGTAATTTAAACTGAAGTTTTGATAATAGAATCGGACGAAAATTTATTGAAGTAATTTCTAACATATTTTTTTAGCTGATAGCACTTATCATTATATTAATAAACAAATAGTTCTAGTGTGCACGTAATTTTGATGTTTATACACAAGCTAAATAGCTTCAAGGGCAACAGTAGTGCTTAGAGCTTTGAAATGTAAGATTTTGCGGTAGGCAGCAGCTTGGCTCTGCCCCTGGCATTGCTGAAGTCCATGGGCGACTGTAATCACTCACCATTAGGTGGGCCGTATGCTCTTCTGTCTACAAGGGCAATAAAACAAAACAAAAAAAAAGATTCTTGTTGGAGTCGTCTTATAAGTTTTGACGTCGATCGATTTTGGTGCAGATACGTTAGGCAGCGCCTTGGCTCTCCTTCTGGCATTGCCGACGTCCACGAGCGACTCTAACCACTCACCATCAGGTGGGCCGTATGCTGGTCTGCCAACAATAGCAAATAAAACAATAAAAAGGTATACCTACATTTTTCAAGAAATATTCATTGATATGGTGCTCATAATCGGTAAAGGTTCCGTAGGTAGTAATCAACAGACAAATTTCTCGTGGTAGAAAATATATTTCCGTGAAGATTAGCATCACAGATCTGCCTGCCAATCACGCTTTCAGGTTTTTAAAATTGGTTAATTATTTTTCCAATGCAATTGAGACTTCGAGTTCAGGTCTGATGGGCTATTAATGTTGTGAAGTCTATGGTCTCTTAAGAACGTGTTTATGTGTTTTCTTTGTTTTAATTAATTAGTGCTTGATGATGCCCTTTATTTAACAAAACAAAACTTGATATTGGCTGAAAATACGACTTTAGTAAGTACGACACGATGTCATTCCGTTATCGTATTATTTCAAACTTACCAGAAAACAAATAAATTAAGGTAGGTTAGAAAAGAAAAAATAACCGAGACACGACGAAGTATTTAATTTTTCCCTTTTCATGGTACATTCTTTCTAAATTCGTCATAACTGTCGGGAGCACATTCATATTTAATCATAGATTATACTTAACAAAACGTCATATTTCTGCCGTGATTAACTACATTAATTTAACTGTACAGTAATAGTTACGAGACCTTCATAATTATTAAAATTACATAATATATGTACGGTACTAGACGCAGTTAGGTTCTACTGAAGTCGTTGCGTAACAGTTCATAATGTTGTAAGCTATTATTATATATTTCATCTGAAAAGCGTCATCTTATAAGTAACGAGCGTACATCATGTACTTGAAATAACCAATCAAATTACTACTAAGTACTTCGCCGACATATGGTCGCAGTTTTATTCTAACATCGATTTCGTTCGCTTTTCAGATAAATGGAACATTCAAAGAGTTAACGTACAGTGTAAATGCTCCACTGTTGACGATTTTTATTTAAACGGATCCGACTAAGTTAAATGCAATGCATCAGAACAATTGCTTTCATTTACATAGAAATTCGGTTACCTAGATGAGGTCGCCATTTTGTACAAAACACCTAATATTTAATTACTATCAAATTTACGGGACAATACAGTTTAATGAGATAGATTCGAGTAAACTACTAAATTTACCGTAAAACATTTATTAGATTAAATAGATATAGTATGTACGTAAAAGTAGACAGGGAGCTAAATAGTAAGTTTAAGAATTAATTCTAGAACTGGGATGATTCAAAGAATACATTAGGCACTAATAAAACAATAAAAATATCGAATAATAAAGAAACAACGTAAGTAAAGCAAAGTTTTCGTTGATTTCAATTGATGAAACATAATATATTTTATTCGCAGCTATAAATTTATGTAAATAAATAATAAAATAAACAATAAAAAAAAATCAAAAATAATAGATTTCAGAAAACAGATAGACGATCGTTTTAGGACAATTATAATGCACTTGCCCACACTAACTAACCTTGATATAACATCAACTTCAATATTAAATAAAGTTATAACAGTAACTAAATGTACAATTCTACTGGAACCGAGTTAAAGCTTTATCAGAAATCCATAATTTAAATAACGAAATTTACGAATTATGGTATAAGAAGTTAAACAGTTATAAATATTTGATCTAGTCGACATGCGATCAGTTAATAGAACATTATAATGATAATAGTAATAGTAAGTGATACTCTTACATTAAAATGGCTGCTAATACATCTATAGTTAAACATAAAATATACAAGTTTTGTGAAGAGATATTTATAACTGCCACCAAAGCAACCCGAGTCGTTCAACAATTTGGTAACGAAAAATAAATGTTAACTGATTAAAACTAGTCCACCACTTGAACAGCGTTACGAATACAACAATAAGCAGTCTCACAAAATATTTTACAAATTTTCCATTTCAATAAACTATCTAAAAACTATAGTTCATCGGTGACGTCTTTAATGGTTTTATTCGTACTTAAATAACCTTTCAAATACAATAATCAGCGCTATTACTAGACATAACTCACATCAGGAATCGTTATCTACTAACGTACTTAATCGATACAATTACAGAACATAATTTCGTAATTAATACTATACACAAATCGACAACACAATAATCTTAGTACGAGTTTCTCTGGGACCTGCGGCGCACGCGGCACTGACTTAGCGTCCAACACGTTGCGATACAAACGATATAGCGCATACAACGTTCCTCCGGTCAATTCTAGTCTATCAGGTAACAAACATTGGACGTGATTATAATCTCGCTTAAAGTACGACCACATTCCACATTTAGGCCCTACGATAGGTACTTCCTTCATGAATCATACAATTTAGCTGGCTATACCGTGATGAAGGGGGTAAGTCCCAGAGAAGGGCGCGGGTCACTGATGATGCTTCGCAGGCGGTGGATGGTGCAGCGCCACGTGGTGCGGTGCGTGGTGGTGGCCCGCGTGGTGGTTGTGGTTGTTCGCATTTGAATTGTTGTTGTTGTTCTGGGCAGCTTGCGCCGCCTGTCGCTGTGAGTTCTTCTTATTTTTCATTCGTCTATTCTGGAACCATATCTTCACTTGTCTCTCGGTTAGATTCAGATTTCTCGCGAGCTCCCATCTCTTTTGTTTGGAGACATACGCGTTGAAAAGGAATTCCTTTTCCAGTTCGAGAGTTTGAAATTTCGAGTATGGTTTGCGTTTTTTGCGCACCGTCACTTGACCAGTCCAATCCAGAGGGTTCGAGGATCCACACCCCACCCCGACTCCGACCGACATTGACAGAGAACCTGAACACACAAAACGGTAGTTTTAATTAAATGTGATTTCATAACACTATTAATGTAATCTTAGAAAATAGAACATTAAATATTAGTAAAATATAATTTATTTATCATTTCTAAGAATTAATTTATGTATTCTAGTTAATGTACTTTGGCACGAATACAGTATCGCAGAATAGGAAGACGTGCTGAAAGAACTTGCTAACATTTGCTTTAGTTTGAAATCTATTACGAATGAGATCATTCTCGCATTGAGAATAAAGTCTTCCTTCATGCTATTTGTTAATTAGGGCGAACTGGGCGGGTTTTGCGCTGTAGCGCTTATATTATTCAGGCAATACATACATGATATATATTTTGATATCCAAGTGGATGGATTAGTGTGCGTTGAATAATCAGTTTTGCGTTGTGCAATTTATGAGACCGGCCTCTTTGATGAAATCAGCGATGCAGTTTTAGTATGCAACACGTGATAGACGAGACGTGCACGCTGAACCATTTCCTATTATTGAAATGATGCAATATAAAAACTCCGCGAAATGCGATATTGAGCTTAATAAGCATGATGTGCCTGTAGATTTTTCAGTGGCCTTTGAGTATTGCCATCATTTGTGACTACTAAAATGGTGCGTAAAGCTGTCCTACCGCAATTCAGATACGTCAACGTATATTTGTTATTCTGTTCATTGTTATTTCATTAAATATCTAAAATTTATTAAAAACGAACTATATGACGATGATTCAAGATTTTACGCTATCGCATTAAAAAATACAAGCTCATTTGTAACCGGAGGGATTGTTTACTCAAACATTTAAAAAACGTATAAACCTTTACTATAGGTGGTAATATTGTGTTGAAGAGACAAACAACCCAATTAACATATGCACTCATTCTGCTCTGTTGTCATTTGTTTTCTAAAATAGGATCTACAAACAAGGTTCAAATGAATACTGAAGCTACAATCATTAATTGGCGCCTTATTTGACGTTTGCAAGCATTTGCTAAATGTTAAGATTGTAAACAGATTTTAAGATACATAAAAACCTTTCCAGTTTCTTTAATAATTGCCAATACTTAAAGTTAAACAAGGAATTTGAATAAAATTCTTTTTTTTTTATTGCTTAGACGGGTGGACGAGCTCACAGCTCACCTGATGTTAAGTGGTTACTGGAGCCCATAGACATCTACAACGTAAATGCGCCACCCACCTTGAGATATAAGTTTAAGGTCTTAGTATAGTTACAACGGCTGCCCCACCCTTCAAACCGAAACGCATTACTGCTTCACGACAGAAATAGCCTTGCCTATTGTACGGGTGGTACCTACCCGTCTGGACTCACAAGAGGTCCTACCACCAGTAAAGTATCACTAACCAAATGTAGGATTGAGACGATGTAATAAATAAATACGATTTGTTATTTGAGGTTGTGTAAAAGAAACATGAATTGTTTAAACATAATGACAGTCAAGCTGTCAATTATGAGGGAATAGGTAGCGATCAGCGGCAATAAAAATGCGGGTTCTCTGCGCCCATAAAAGCCTACATACCCCACTGTACGCATTGTCTATTTTGTCTTAACTAAAAGATTCTATCTTAAGGTAATAAGGTTCAGCTTTGTATGACACTTCACATATCTTACATCGTTTTGTAGTTTGATAACTTTTAGCTGAACCGAAAGGTTTTAGGAATTTTAATGGGTTCAAGTATTTTTGTTATTATTTGACATTGATTGAATTTTGTTTTATTTAAAACAGTTATATTATGTTAAAATAAATGTCAATATTGGTGAACAAATCACGCTTGTCAAGGCTGAGTGAATATGTAGATACCGATATGAATATTTATGCGAGGTATTACGTCGCCACGTCGTGAGATCGCGGACAGGCGTAGAGCGAGCCTCGCTAACGGAGTCACTCCACAAACCGTTTACTAAGCCATAAATGTACAAATCAAAGTCAATGTCAACCTCAGGTGGGCCGTAAACACACAATCATAAAGTGACGCCAACACTCGTATAACTTTTTCAACAATTGTTTCCTTTTAATAGCCCATTATATGCGTGTTTTACGCAAAATTATGTCAAGTTACACCTCTGCCGTAACAGAGGCGCGATAAACCCATCTTTATGGTTAGGCGGCGATCGAAAGTGAACTAGCGGCGAATGTTTATGAATGGAACATTTTTATTGCTCTCATATTGACATGGCGTTTGTAGTTTAGTAATTACTACTTACTATCGCGATTTGGGTAGAAACTAGTATTATTGCATGTTTGTGACGACGACGAGGTTTTATGATTCATAAAAGTGATATGTATCTACGAGAATGCCCGTCTGAATCGTATGCACCGGGCGGGACGACCGTGAGTGCGTTCCGGCACCAGCGTCCTCACACTTCTAGTTTTTATCGTCTCATCAACCTGTAATGTGTTTATTGTGGCAATATTTGGTTTATTGCCACTACTCAAAGATCGGTTTATTGTCTTAACGCTCAGGTATCATGTTTATTTATTAATTATACTTTTTTATTGGCGCTTTATTTTACGTAAACTTTAATTTATTGTCGGTTGTAAAGCACCGTTTTACATTGCCTATAAAAAGGTGCTCACGGTTCGTTTTTAAACATTTGTAGCACGTGTTTCGTTCATTCATCAAATTTATGGTGGTCTGTGGGAAAATGTTTTGGTTGAGCTCTCTGTTCGGAGGGTCTAATAGGATTCTCTGTCAACTATATGCCATTTTTATAGAACTTATGGCTGATTTTTCTATACGTTTGTTATGAAAACCTATACAGTGGTCTGTTCAGGAAATTTTTTGCAGGCACTTACTAGTCGTTTTAGGGGTCGTTTATAATGTATAATTTTTTTTCTTTCAAAATAAACCTATCCCGAGTCAACTGTAACGTGAGACTTATATTATTCAATATTTACACTCTGTTCGGTTTCATACAGTTCTTAAATTACATTAGCCTTTTTTACAGACCTTAGTTATTTATTTTGCGTTTTTGTAGCCCGCATAAACTGGTCATCATAATTCTTTTTTTTTTGTTATTACAAATTTCATGAGGGATTTATTACTTTTATTCAATAAATATCCATCTGCTACAGGTGTGTCCTAAAACTCGTGTACAATCACGCCAATCAGCTGTCTTCGATTAGAGGTAGAATGCGATGGGAATCTTCGTGTGTGTGCGAGGTGTAGATTTGGCACTCCCACATAGCTCCGCGAGAGTAATCTCTGTGTGCGTGCCGCACACATAGAAATACCGCACGCTTGTGTGTGTTCTTTACGGCGCCATCTAGCGACAAGCGGCCCGCAATCAGCGGGTCAAGGTTCACAAACCCATAATAAATTATTTACAAATCTACTTATCAGCTTCAGACTGTCATAGATTTAAATTAAAACAAGTTTATAATATTAATAAATTTAATCCAAAAATTTTGAAGTTTAACGAACCATCCAATTTACGATTAAAAATACGGGATGTAGGTATACTTTTCAGTGAAATGTTTGTAAATTTTATAAAATGTTTCCTAAGCGCGTTCTGTTTAGTTAAGAGAGTTAGGACGATAAGCTTTGTGGATTACTAACATCGTAATGGAAATGAGATTGTAGCGGTTGGTTCGAAAAACTAGTTTCAATTTATTTTGAGAAATAAGTATTACTTACCGGGTAGAGAACCTGGTGGCGGATACGGTGCGCCAGAAACTGACTCTGGTGCGTAATTTCGTAGACCATATGCATCATGAGAGAACCCGGACGCCTCGGAGACTGCAGCTCGTCGTTCTTCTCCGCTGACGTAGGGCAGAGGTTGATCGCCTCTAGGTGTGCCATACGGATAGTTCCAGCAGGGCTGCGAGAAACCCTGATGACAGCCTCCATCAGCGTATGGTTTGTATTCACCACTGCTGGTTGGCCAAAAGGGGAGAGTCGACTTGCGCTCTCTTTCGACAGGTAAATTATAATATGTGGGGGCGCTGGGGTACTGATGTTCGAATGAGCCGGGAGCATCTGGAGGATAGCCCCAGGGCTGCTGAGCATGCCGGATGACGCCGGGCTCGGGCTCGTAGCGCTTAGCCGGAATGTGCAACGGCGGTTGTGGTGGGTTGGAGCCGACTGAAGCGGGCGAGGCGCTGGAGGCCGAAGGTGGTGCGGCCGCAGGAGCTGCTGGGGGTGAGCCACCGGGCGGCGACGCGTGCGCCTCCTCGTAGAGCGCGCCGCCGACCCCGTTCATCATGGTCCACCAGGCCGGCCCGGCGGAGTGGCCGGATGCGGGCGCTGGCGACGCGGCGGCCGCGTCGCAGGGCGCGCCGAGGCCCCCGACATGGTTGTCAGGGTACAGGGTGGCGGCCGGGCAAGCCACGGGGGATCGGGACGGTCACCGGACGGTTCACGCGCGCCGCGGGCACATCGCACCGCGCAAACACGCGTCCCACACGCCGAAGCGGCACATGAAAATTAAAACGCGTTGCCCGATTTAGCCAGCCCGGACGAGACTTGACCGCAGGGTTAACTGACCGAATAAACTTATGATATCGATGAAGGTGATTAAAATTATATTTTAACAGTCGAACAGTCGAACAGTCACTGATATGAGAAGCTGGCTGGTAACATAGAAGAAATTGTCTTTTTATTTTGAAAAACTGATTTTACTAAATTTATATAGTTCCAGGTAACACAAATTTTCTAAATTATTGAGAGTTATCGGTGACGCAACAGTTTTGTTATTTAGTAGAGCCGTCTATTGGACACGATGTTGTCGCGAGTAGCGAGCGTATCGCGTGAGAGCGAACCGAGAGTAAAGAACACACAAAGCGCGCAGTCGGCAGCGCGGACGAGCGCGGAGTGGCGGCGGCGTGTGCCGGTGTGACGGCGCACACATGCGCGCATCTCATGTGGCCATCTAGCGCCGGGCGGAGGAACCTTGCCACACACGAGCCTGTAGGCGGGCGGACTGCCAGCTCCCGCTCTCTACGTTTTCATAACATAAGATCATTATTCTAACTTGTATACTAAACTAAAATCACTGCTTGAAATTATCAATTACTATTTCAATATTAAGAATACGTGCAAATAGCCTGAGTGTGGCTTAAATATATTCAAAGGAGCTTTTAGACTTTCTTTGCTTGTAATGTTCTTAAATGTCACCAAAAATTAAATCTTGCCTTGGTTCAGAGTAATGTGTCGACGCGCGGTAGATCTGAAAGGGTTGTCGAAAACGGAGGCGCGGGTGCGTAGTAAAGCGATTAATGGAGGCAAAATAGCCATAAACTGCCGTTTAACCAAACTGCAAGCGTCACTTCGGCCATCGTCGAGTTACCAATAAAAAACGCGAGACTTTATGACGGCAACTCACTCACATTTTATTGTGAGTATAAACTTAATTTTATCGCCTGTTAATTTCACCACAAATAATACTAGGCGATAGATTAAATTATAACATTTTGTTTTATTGCCCTGAATTACAAGGACGATGTATTTTTGTGGTTTCATTGACTGTAAACATTTCGATACCATATTTTTGCGGCTTCATGCATTTGCTCTCGAAGCTCTAAGCCAACAAAATCATAAATACTCGTATGTTTTGTTCACTATTACTTAATATCGTATACAAGCTCTCGTCTACAAACCATATTTTGTGTTTGTTACACCACTTTACCAAAGCCACATAACATAATTTCACAGATTAATAAATTGAAAAAAAAATTACTGTCGAAAATTTCCAGACGTTCTTAACACACCCTTTTGAAGTTCAACAATGAACCGTACGACCAATAAATTTTCTTACAATTCAGCTATACCGTGTACTGTTTACACAACGAAACAGCTATAAAATATATCAATACGACAAAAGAAAAACATATAACACGGCAAGTCATGTTAACATCGCAACTTAACACGCTTATTATGTTAATAGCAACCGAATTGTCAAAATATAATACGCGATCTTTGTACATCACGAGTGTCAGCGATAAGCGTTTCTCATATAAGAAATATTTATAATCGTTATCAAATATTTACGAATCGCTTCGAGGTCGCAATTGACTTAAAAATAAAAGTAATTTAAGTTTATTTATATAAAACATAAAATATATATTTATAAAAGATGTATTCAGTACTCAAAATCAAACACAGTTCTTACTAAGCTTAGTCATATATTTTGGTCGATTCTATTCGAATTATATATTAAGCCCTACAAATTACAACTTGGTACACACGGCTGTCATCCCTGTATATCTGACACTCTGGTTTTTGAATTACTAAAACAAAAATTTTAATTGCTTGTCTGACTGCTGAAGCCTAAGAAATCGGATGAAAATTAAAGTTCAGAATTAAAATGTTTACATGATTACAATGATTACAATACTACATATATAGTCAACTAGGTATTTGTAGATTTTTTCATTTACATTCCACTAAATCGATCAAGAACTATGACTAAAAATGTTAAACAGTGAGATCATTCTCAAACTCCATGTGGAAAGATTCAATTGGTAATTATTCAATGATAATTAATTAATAGATGTTACATTATAATCGCTTGCCGCTCGTTGCGTGACCACAACTTATAGCAAAAACGTTAATTTCCCACACTACTACATTATGACGTACTAGTAATTATGCCTCGACAATTGTAAGGGTAACAGAATAATAGTAGTGAAGCGATAAATTCACAGTACTTTGTGGACGTGTCAACAAAACTAATATTACGGATTATTGTCCACATTTGTATATCAAACAGTGCCAAATGATTTATTTATTTTTCGGGACCTGTATTTATAAAGCACAACATGGCCGCTTCAAGAAGACTCCCTAGAGTAAAACGAATTAAAAAAAAAATGCATTTTTTGCAATGCTGTAATGTAATTGGTACACCTACATAAAAATGGTTTAGAAAAAACTATGGCTGCCACACAAAATGTGATGTGAAAATTTACTAATAAATTTAAATAAATTTTACAGATGTGTATTTCGTTGTTTTTTTTTCAAAAGATATTTTTTGTGTTTCTCTGATGTAAAAGCAAGCTCGTGTCGCTAGCACATAAAACAGCGCCGCTGTAAATAGTAACAAAATGAAAGTAACATCATATCGCCTCTGCACAAACAGTCAGACGAGTATCAGGCGCGTTGAATGACATACACAAACATAGGAACAAGTGTGCGCCTGAGCAGCCGTCTATAAATATTTACGTTAGGAAACTCTCGAGGCCAATGGTAGGCCATACATCTCCGCGTAAATAAAAGTACGCTTTCTTATCTCAAACATGTACGCCGGTTGCGCAAACGTCTCCGACAGAATCCGTTCTGTGTACGTCCGTAACGTAAATAAATGTTTTACAATCTCAACTAGACGCATGCTAACATTTTAAACGCATAACTTTGTTTACATCGCGGTACCTATTTTGTGATTATGTATTTAGTAAAATTGTTTCTATGCTACATTACAATTTGCCATCGCCACACACCAATAAATGTGTAAGAATAGAATTTAGTTTAAGAATATATATCACGGCACACAAGTCATTTCATTTATGCTTTAAAATTACTTAAAGTTTAACGGTCAATTTCGATTGGCAAAATGTTAAAATTCCTATAGAGAGTCTCCTCGGGAAACTGAACAACGGTAAATATTTATTTCGATATACGCTTTTAAGCATATAAACTTAAAGGTACTCATTTACATGTGCCAATTTTGAAAGTTGTCCGTGATCGGCCTGGCCACCTTTCTCCGAAGCACCGCTGTAAAACTTGGTGCATAAATACATGACTTTAGTTACAAACATGTACACGTACACATCAAGGTTGTTGTTGAATAAAAGGAAAATGAGGTTATACGATAAACATTTTAGAGCTCTGCTATCAGTGACTGTCCGAAATTTCGATGCTCATTCATAATTCAATTTTAAGGTCATACGGATAACAATTCAATTGAGAGCAACGTCATGATTTTAATTTACAACCGCGTTAACGACCCACTCTGTATCTACAACTTTATTACATTATCGTTTAGTTTTTTTTTTCCATGATTATATATGTTGTCATAATCGTACTTTATTATGTAAATTACGTAATTTTATGAGTGAGGATTCTTCACAATATCGATTTCATTGGAAGTATCAGAAGTTATGTGATAAATTCGTAAAAACGATAGCTTAAATCGATATTGGAAAGTCAGAAATGTTTAATAAGGCTTCAAAATAATCACCTTGTCGTAAACTGGCTAGCGACGTCTGCGTAAAAGGGCACGGTAACCTGTGAACAAATCAAATTTATTTTAGCATCAAGTATTAAACTTTATTAATAACTACAGACAACGCAACAAACTGATTTTGATCAATTAAAACTCATGAATTATTATTGTATTTCACAAGAAACAGTTTAATGAACTTCATAATGTTAATTAAATAAAAATAAAATGTTTTCTTGCGAACACCTTCATCAACCTTTAGAATATTGCTGTAGGTAATTTTACTAATATCGGTGTAATCTAATCTATATAAAGCTATTCGGAGACTTTAAAATCTAAGAAGCTTAGGTTAATTTTTAACAATCAACAGAAACTACTATTTGCTATTAAAATATTTCAGTATCAGTAAAAATCCGATCCAATTAAATTCATAAAAATATCGTGGACTTGTTCGTGTGCAAACACTAAAGCGACATCTAACTAAATATAGTTGATAATATTTTTTCCTGGGGAAAGGCAAAATCTTGGCTTTGCTCCTAATTTTGCTAAAATGAAGATAAAAAAGAGACAAGAGAGAAGAAAAGAGAGGGGAAGGAAAAGAACCAGCAACACGGCCCGAACCATGACCCGTACGGGGTCGCGAGGATCCAACAAAAAGACAATAATGAGCTACAAGCTAAGCTAAATGTAAGGATAAAGAAACACAAGATAAATAAATTTTTGACGTGATCTATTTTAAATTTTACCTGATAATGTTCTCTACTAATTTTCCCTCAAGATTTCACTGTAGTTAAATATCAGAAACCGCTTTCGTGTTCTACTAAAGATCTCAGTGCAGTGAAATGACGTAACTAATAAGCCACAAAAATAGCGCTTTAAATCATCGTTACGTATTTAATGTCTACCGAAAACACATAACTCCGTGTATTTTTAAAACAACACCGCGTTCCACCCACAGACATCCCATTGACTTCTTCGGTTACAATTTTATTTCCTGACACCAAGCGACTTGGTACGAATATAAATAAATCCTTTCTAAATCATACGATATGGCGTATAGTCACGAAGTTTACATAAAATAGGTGATTTG